AATTGTACCCCCAATACTGTCCTTTTTGCTTTAATTCTCTGTGCACCAGATATACCAGGATGGGAGAATCAGAATAAAACAAACTTGTATTTACCAAACAGGGAATCGAAAACCTTTTTGGAAGAAACTTTTGAAGAATATTGATCATAAAGGAGCAAGTAGGGGAAAAATGATATGTCACTCATTATGCAAATATTTTACCAGACTTAGGAAAGGGTACATCTCAGCCATGATTCTTCTCCTTTCAGACAAGGCCACCATTTGAGCTTCGTTGCACAATGTTTAATCTCTGTCCTTGAAGTTCACAAATTAACTTGCTCTGTGATTTCCTCCTTGTGATAGCCTCTGGCTGTGTTTTTACTGCCTGAACAGCTACTGGCAGGCAGCTTGTCGCCCACATTCACTACAAAGTAAACAGGAATTTGGTCCCAGGGTAACTGGCTGCTCTCCAGCATAAGAATGCAAGTTATTCATAAGCTTTGTGTGCTTGCTTCTGTTTAACGCAGACTGTTTTCACTAGCGAGCACAGGGACAAAAAGAGTTGTGAAGGTTTTGGGTCTTAAGGATTATTCCATTTTTCCTCTGATAACCTGTGATTCTTCTCCCCAACTATTTTCTAACCCTCCCGTACTTTTTCCACTACTTTTCATTTCATGGTGACTACCAGAAATTTACCAAGGAAGCTGCCAGGAAATCACATATCCCTTTTAGAAATACAACCAATCCAGTAGACAGATATGGGTGCGCTGTTATTTTGGAGATAGAATATGTTTAACAAAGCTTTTCAAATTAAATCTTCATGAGAATGTGTCGGTAAATGTCAAATGGATTTGTGAGCACCAGGCTAACAATAATTCAAAACAAAAAGAAAATAATGGAGAAAAAGATGGCTTTAAAGATAGGAGTATATATATGTGTGTGTGTGCATACTTCAAATTGTGAGGTGGTGATAATAGACTTAAAGTTTACCAAAAATTAAGAAGTGTAAACTAAATCAAAAAAGGCAGAAAGAGTTACCCATTCACCATGGTCGGAAGAAAGTAGAAGTGAGAATTCTGGGCACCTGAAGATAAGGCACGTAAAAGATTTTTCTCCTTCATTCTCTTACCTGAATGGTCTATGCTGCAACACGGGATACAATGTTTGCTAAATTCTGCTCTGAGCTACACTACCCACAAAACTCTCATATTTAGTATTATTGTCCTAAAATCTGTTTAATAGACACCAAAAAGACCTGAGACCTGAGAACAAAGAAAAATTTGCCTTCAGTTCACTCAAAGCTGTACAATAAATGGTCAAAAGATGAAATATTAAATACATTACTCACTCTGATTTATTTAACTATTTATTTTTATTTGCCGAAAACTTGAACCGGAAGATTTTGCTTTTTTGGAATGTAATTTGTAAGTGAATCAATTCTTTCCCATTTCAGGTCCTTATCAATGCATGCTATTATCTCTATTTCTTGATTAGGAGTCTACCTGTCGATTGGCACTTGCCAATTGTATAGAACCTTATGAGTAGAGATTTGCAAAGATTTGTTTTTCTTAGATGTCTGAGGAGTAATATTCATTACATTTAGCATGCCACCTGCAGCTTTTAAACCCAGTGTATTCCATGGACCAAACGCTGGCATTCCAGGCATTGGAGCTCTAAAGTTAAATGGTGAATAAATTTTGCCCTTGAGGAGCCCCAGTCCGGTGGAGAATCTAGATACACAAACGTTGACAATGAAATGCAACTATAGTAAAGAGGAATGTGAGAAAGCGATTCCCCGTGAAACAGAGATTCCTAAATGTGAGCCTTAGAGAGGAGGGATGTCTCAGCAGGGCTTTGAATCATATGTTGGAGAACATGGAGTTGAAAGGAGAAAGGCATGGTGGTGTGAGAGAACGCAGTACTTCTTGGTGGTGGTGAGGGGGAAGTGGCTAGAGAAAGAGGTGGGAATAGCAAAGGACCGGTGTGTACAAGTTTTGCACTTTGGACTTCATTCTCTGGAGAGTGGGCAGTCTTCACAGAACGGAGCATGATCAGATCTGGATACCATTAGGAATTTTAGAAGTGAGAAATCCAAGCGTTTATTGAGCTTATAAACCAACCTAAATGTCGGAACGGATTCATATACTGATTTACACATTTGGATGATGGATCATTACAAGCCAATTGGTCCTTAGAGACTGAAAAAGTTCTTAGTAATAGAAACCCTCTGCCTCAGGATATACGAAGGTCAGGATCAAACTAATCAGGCTTAGAATGCTTCTCAT